CGATGACTGCCCTGACTGGGTGAGGCTTCAGGATGCCTCTCTCGGAGAGGGGTGGCTGTGCTCTGTGGGTATCAGGAAAGTGATGTGCACTGTTGTGACCCAAAGGCCACAATGGGCAAAAAATCTGTTTCTTCTTCCTCCTGAGGACACAGCAAGGCCACCCATCCCCACCGTCCTGGAAGGGGAGCTCCAGATAGCAGTGGGCAGAGGCAGCAGAAGCAGTGTGCATCTCCCTCACGGGCCTGGCCCACAGAGCCTACCCCTTCATGACTTCGCCTGTTGGTCAACTTCCACCACAACTGGGGATATCAGCTGGTGAGGATGGGTCAGCTTCAAGATGGTAGTGGACAAGGCCCTAGATTAGCACCTGCAGAGGAGCTGCCCACCAAACAAGAACACTGGTTTGTAACTTTACATGAAAGACAAATACATTTCTTTGTATTAAACTGCAGGTGGTGTGGAGGTTATCTATCATAGCACCTAGTGTTACCTTAAGAAATGCTGCAAAATGCGAACATTTGTGCCTCTGTGATTGAGCTAAAAGCTATGTCTGAGCAAGTGTGTCTGTGAGTCTGTGGACTTAAGCCTATGAATGCCTCTAAGGGGCTCGTGTATGTGTGCATGGGGGCAAAGCCTCACAAGGGGTGCACACATATGGGGTGAGTGCATGAGCTGCTTCTGTGGGTCTGAACACATGTGGGAGTATGTGAATCTGAGTACACATGTGTGTACACTTGTGGGTCTGAATAGCTGTGTGTGCTCACAGGGAGGCAGACGGTTTACTGGGTCTGAACATGTCTGTATGGCCCAAGGGGCTGGCTGAGAATGTGAGCCCTCTCATGTGCAGCTCATGTGGACATCTGAGCACATGAGTAAGTGCATCAGTACCAGTGAGGGCCCAGGTGGGCCAGTATAGACATAAGTGTGTGTTTGTCTGTGTGCGCGTGTATAGTCACTGTAGGACTCAGTATGAGTCTGTACGACTTGAGAGGTGTGAGCATGCATATGACTCCAATCATGTGTGTGAATCTGAGTGTGTATATGTGTGTCTGAGCATGTGTATGTCTCTGAACACATAAGTATGAATGTAAGAATGAGCATCTGTGGGTCTGGGCTAAGGTGGGCCTCCAAGGGCCCCCCATCATAGGGCAATGAGAGGGGTACAAGTGTGGATCTATACCAATGTGTGAATGTGCATGGCCCCTTGGGTCCAGGTCCACACGGCCCACCTCAGAATGTGTGCACATGTACCCTGTGGATCTCAGCACATGGGTGCCTTTGGTGTGCACACAGGCATGCCTCTGTGGGAATGGGCACACTTGCTGGTCCACAAGGATATCCCTTTGAGGAGCCGTTTGTGCATCCTGGTGCAACTGAACTTATTGGCTGGATACCACAGGTCTGAACATGAGTGTATATTTGGCTGGAGCTGTGCCACATGCACTTCTAGGAGCCCCAGCACAGACATGTGCTTCTCTGAACCCACGCAAATGCGTATATATGTGTGCCTACGCCTAGTACCTGCCTGTTCTGAACATGTGTATGTGGTCCTTTTGAAACATCTGTGAGCATCTGCAAGTCTGAGCACACATGGAGGACGGTCAGAGCACTTGTGTTATGCAGGTGGATCTGTATACATGTATGTGCTTCTGTGAGCCGACTGTGAACGTGGAACCCTGGGAGTCAGAAGACTTGTGTGTACAAGCTCACGCTGTACATAGATGCACATCATGATTGTCTGAAATATGTGGGTGCCTCTGAGCATGTGCTTGTGATCCTAAACATTGGTCTGTGCCTCAATAGGTATAAGTGTAAGTGTGTGTGAGCGTGCCTCAGTAGGCTGAAGACACCTTGTGTGACAAGCATATGTAAGGGTAAAACCCTGTGTGTCCAAACAGGTAGGCACCCGCAAGCAAGTGGGCATGTGTGAGCTTGCTGGGAGATCCATTAATGTATGTGCATGGATATATGTGTGTGTGTCTCTGGTCAGACATGTGTGCTTGCATATAAATGTATGCCTCTGTGGATCTGAGTGTGTGTGTGCACTTCCTATGTGCCTCAAGGGGTGCAGACTCCATCCCTACAGGGGCCAGGCCCATAACATAATGTGTGGGTCAGGCTGGGTAAGACCATGAGACATTACCCACTATGCAGAGCCCCCACTCAAGGCATTCCCATTCAAAAGAATTTAAACACTGTGTCTGTCAAACAATACCCTTCTTTGACTGGATTTCCAACCTCACGTGAAATAACCATGTTGGATGATGATTTCACCAAGCTGCGAGGAGGAGAAAGGGGGGGGCTTGGGATCTGTGAAGGTGCCCAAGTCAAGAGAAAGGGTCGAAGTGAGTAGGGATGATCCCAGGCTTGACATCGGGACCCAGGGAGAACAATCTGGCAGGTGGGAGGGATGCAAATGCCCTGGAGTCAGCCCCTGGGTAGCCACTGTCTCCAGCCAGGCTGCCTTCACCTCTAACACTGACCTTGGAGCGCAAGGAGGCCTGGCCCTCTACCAGAGGAAAAAGCCTCCCTGCATCAGGGGCATGAGAGGGCCCCTGGTTGGAGTCCCCTTTCCCTCATGGTCTAAATCAGCCTGAGGGGCTCTGGAGTCATCTTGGTCTTTGCCTGGCCTCCCACCAGGAGAAAAATCCGATTTAAAGCATTTCAGAATGGCGCTAATATGGAAATCAGATGTGTGTCACCTTGGGGAGACCCAGGGGCTTTGCAAGGTTTCCTCTGGAGGCTTGAGCATGCACTCTGTCCTTATTTTTAAAGCTGGGTGCCGGGCTGCAGCCTCTCCCTATTCCCCCAGCTTCTATTCTTCCTCCACCCTCCATCCTCCCCCCATAGGTTTGGCCCTTTGATTGGGGGAGGGCAGCTGACCCACAGACTTCAGATCCTCCTCACTCCCTTGTTCCCACACAGCCTAGGGGAGCTTGGCCAGTAGGTGTACACACTTGGTGCCACAGCCAGGCCCCTGATAAGACTCCAGGTTGGGGCTGGGATGCTAGGACCTTGGTAGAATAGCATGTGGCCCTGGTACAGCCCGGGATGTGCTCCATGTCCCTGCACACCCGTCCTGGCCCAACACTCTTCTCCATGGGGCCTGGGGAGAGCAGACCCCTCTTCTCACCCCACAGCCTCTTCTCAGAGTGAGCATATGTGTGTAAACACATGTGAGGGGATCAAGTGCCCTTCTCTCATGACCTGCCAGCCCTTTGTCCCCAGAGTCCTATCCCAGGGCCCTCATGGGGCCGTGGGTCACAGCCACTTTTGGCAGGCCTGGGTTAGAAACACTGCCTCCACTTCCAGGAAACCCCAGTATTGACTAGTTAGAGGGGTAAAGCAGGGTCGAGGGGAAGTGCCATACTGAACCTGCCAGATGCCCAGAACCTCCCAGAGCAATGGCAGAGTGCAGGCGCATCTCTGAGCTGAGATCGCCTAGTGAGATGGAGCCAGATGGCCCCCCAGCAGAGGGGCCTCCCCACTGTGGAGGGCGTCTGTTCCAGAAAGCACCAGCTCTTGGCTGTGGATGGGGAGGCCTTTCCAACCCAACAGCCTGCAGCTCCTCCAAGTGCCTCGGGGCCCAGGACCACCAAACAACCCTCTTCAGCTCTGGCCTATGGTGTCAGGGGGCCCCTGCCCCAGAACTGCCTCTGCCCCTGGTCTCTGAAACTGGAGCCCCTGCCCCAAGGCTCCATGGTTTTTCTTGCTCTCCCCAAACTCCTTCCACAGTTGCAGCCTATCCTCAGCTTGAGCATCTCCTTTGGGACTGGCAGACGCCCCTGCTTCCCCAGGCCAGATTCACAAGATATGCCCCAGTCACACAGCCCACCTCACCTCCCCCAGCCCTGCAGACATCTGCCCTAACCTCCAGCCTTCCAGTAGCAACAGCCCAGGTGCCACCATTGCAAAGTAACTGGGAGAAGTCTCTAGAAACCCAAGCCAGGGATGAGACTCCCACAGGCTCATCCAGGCCACCACCAAGTCCCATGATTCCTTGCTGGGAAATCTGGCCACATTTATTCCTTCCTCCATTCCTGCTGCCAGCTGTAAGCACCAGGACCTCAGCTCCTCAGGCCTTCCCTTCCCCCGGCTCCTCTTGGCCACCTTCAACCTGCTCAGGTAAGCAGCCCTTGCACCCACTGTGCCACTCCATACCCCCACACTTCTCAGTTGGCACTCAAGGCCCACCCTTCCTTTACCAATCTGATCTCTCTCCGGGGCCACACCCTTCTCTCCAGCTGCAAGGATCCAGCAGAGGCCTGGAATGCCAACCCCAGGAAGCCTTCCCTCCCAGCCCTGCTCTCCTGGTATAGCAGCTGCTCTCCGGCTATAGCAGCTGCTCCCCTAGAAATCTAGACCAGACCTCAGGTCCCAATCTCACCAAGGGACAGGTCTGGCTCAGGGCACCTCTTCACTGCAGACTGCCTGGCAAAGAGCTGCCGTGTGGTATAACCACCCCAGCTTGGCCTGGCAGCCATAGCAGAGTGTCTGTCTGGCTGTCTCCCTGAGACAGGGAGTAAGGAGGGTTCTGGATCCAGGAGATATCCAGGGAAAAAAATCAGGCCTCAGGGACTGATGGGAGTTGTAGTTTTGGACCAAGAGCCATTGGGATTTGTAGTTCCTAGGCCTGCATTCTCCCACCTACCCCCCATCCCTACCCCACACCCCAAGAAGACTCATGGAAGCTGCAGTTACTCCTCTTTCTAGGGAAAAGTTTCCCTCTTTCCTTCCAGGATTCCTTGGCCCTCAACCCCAGGATCCCTAGCTAAGGATCTCACTACCTCAGAGGGGCACCTACAGGCCAGAAACTGCCTTGCCAGAGGGACAGTTTGAGGGACCTGGAGGGGAATTGCAGGAAGACAGAGGAAGCTATCAGGGAAAATTAAGGCCTGGCAGCAGGCCCCTTGGGCTTGGGCCAAGTGACAGGGATGGTCGCCCCCCCTCCCACCAGCGTCACCCGGGCCCGGGGCAGGGGAGGGGGGAAAGGCACTCACCAGTACTGGGCTCACATTCCTCCAGGTCCTCATCATCACTCGGACACTCAGCAGAGGCCACCAAGAGGTCATCTGTGTTCTGTGGGCGAGAGGAGGGGTGGGGGAGGAAATAGTTCGGGGGTGGGTCAGGAAGCCCCAAAGCCATCTCTTGGAGTGTGGGACTACACAGAAGATGGGTCCTGGCCTGAGACATACACCTTGGTCCATGCCCCAGTTCTCCCATTGCTGTCTAGGTGATCGAGGGGCCTCCCTTGCCCCACTGTGCAAAGACACAGCCTGGCCAGCGCCTGACCTGCAGCAGCCCCCACAGCAGCCCCCACAGCTCCCTGGGGTCAGTGAGATGGCACATGTTATGCCTTTTATTTCTAGGAAGCAAGGGAGACTGGACACTGGACCTGGGGGTACAGGGCTAGAGCAAGGGGGGGGGAGCATGGGGGAGATGGGCATGGGGGAAATGAGATGAGGCATGGGGGCCTCTGGAGGCCAGCACAGGCAGAGAAGGAGAGCAGAACCTGGGGGGGCAGGTGGCTGTTGGATCCAACCTCACTACCCCACCACCCTCGTCTCTCTCCCAACCCCCTTCCCAGAGCCCGGAATCAGGCTGCACACAATAATTAGGGCTGTGGTTGTCATGGCAACGGGAGTCCGACTTTGTCAGCATTTTCTCTCCTCCTGATTGCAAAGAAAGAGAATCCCCAAGATGAGTGAATGTAAGGGGATAGAGAGGGAAGTGTGCTCGGGGTGTGTTAGGGAAGAGACCCAGGGAGGGAAACCCAGAGTCCAGGCAGGAATGGAGCCTGAGAGACCACAGGGTGTAGGGAGAGGGTTCCCAAAGACCAAGGATGGGAGGAGTCTGGGGGGGAGAGGTGAAAGGGTCACATGGTGCCTCTTCTCCACCCCCCACCCCCCCCCTCATCTTCAGAAGACTGGTTTTCTTCAGCATCTTTGTCCCCCTCAGCACCAACCTCTCCTGGGGGAGGTTCTCCCAACACAACTGTGACCCTGAAGGCCCCAGCCCTTCCGTCCACCTGGATGGTCTGCCCATCACCCTCCCACTGAGACTGGTTGGCCCTTCTTGCCTCTGGGCAATCAGTGCCCAACCTTGGGCAGGGCCAGGCCTTTCTCCCAGGGCTCCCTGCTCCTTGGGGCAAGGCCTGTCAATCAGGTTCCCTTGCTTTTCTTGGCAGTGAAGGCAAAGGGGAAGGGGGTTCAGACTTGTATCTCTCACCTGCATGAGGCTGTTGGCTGGTGCCAGGCCCCCTACAGCACAGACTGGCAGGGATGAGTGGACTTAGACCTCATGGAATCCAGCCCTCACTTCCAGACGCTAAAGGCAGGCCAGTGGTGGAGTTGGGACTTGCTCCCCAGGCTGCCTCCAGACCTCCCCCTCCCCCTGGGAGCACAGAGTCTGCTTTAGGCACAGAGGCTCAACAGCCATGGGTGATGAGGGACAGAAGTAGCTTGGGTTGGGAGGGTGGTGGGTCTACCATGCCAGGTATGAGACCTCCCTGGGCCACAGTCCTTGCTGGCAACAACCAGAAAACTCAGCCGGATCCCCGAGCTGCCTCTGTAAGTCACATGTGGTCAACTGGCTTTCGGCATCACAACAGCCAGGCCTGTCCTGCCCCATAAGAGCCTCATTCCCCAGGTACAACCCCATCCAGATACAAGAGAATATAAACTCAAATCCCCGAGGCTTGCCCTGATCTAGAGAGAGCCCCTGAGCAGGTGGGGCAGGCAGGGCGAAGGGTAAAGCACCAAACTGTCCACACCAACAGCCCCTCAGGCACTAGACATAGAGAACACGAGGCTTGCTAGGTGGGCCACCTGCTCACAGTCACGAGGAGAAGATGCGAGAAGGTAGGAGGCTTGCCGTCCCGCTGTAAGGGCACCAGGAATCAGGGAGATGCTGTTCCCGGGCCTCCGCCAGCCCCCAGCTGAGCTTCTAGGCACCCCCAGTGCTCTCACCTATGTGCCCCGCCAGAGCGATGCCACCCTGGTTCTATCCATCTGCTGCTCGCTCCCCACACGCCACTGGGCCTGGCCTCCGTTCTGGGGCAGGCAGACCAGCTCATTTCACCCTCACCCCGGTCCAGACTTCCTCCCTCTTAGGTGGTCTTGCCTGGTCTGGCTGGAGCTCCAAACTCCCCTGTCACACTGGGAATGGCCCCTGGAAATAGTGCCACCTTCCCATCTACAACACCCTTGGCCACCAAGGCAAAGGTCACATCATGAAAGGAGACCTCTCCCCCTACCCGAACCACCACCGTGACCACTAGGATGATACAGCAGCCTCCAGGATCCCCCCAGACCCCTCAGAGCCTCCCCTGGGTGCCACAGTTGCTGTGTAGACATCAGCCCCATCCCCCAACCCTGCCAAAGCCTCACTCCTTATCCATCAGCCCAAAAGACCCTCACCTGGGTGGTGCTGTCCCTCAGCGTGGGGGAGCGGCCCCGGCGTGTGGTGGTAGTCGCCATGGTGGTGGTGGTCTCCATGATGGTGGTGGCCATGTCGGCCAGCAGGGTGGTGGCCGTGGTCTCCGCACTGAGCAGCACGGATGGCCCCTCCCCCACCAGGCGCAGGTGGCCCTCAGTCCGCACATTGGGGTCGCTCTCGGCGGCCAGCGCCAGCACCTTGAGCCCATTGTAGTAGAGGCCGGACACCTGGCCCTGGAAGGGGCGGCCCTGATCCCGGCCCCCGATCTTGATGGCAGCCTGGCTGTTGAAGATGGTCAGCTGGCGGCCTGGTGGGGAGGGGAATCGGTGGGGTGGGGCGACAGACAGGGGAGGGACAGGCAGCGGGACAGATTGGAAAGGGACAGGGAGAACAGAGGGAAGGCAAGGGAAGGCAAGAGGATGGAGAGGGAAACCAGCAAAGGGGGTGGGAGGTTGGAGAAACGAGGAGGGGGCAGACACCAAAGGGAAAGTCCTTGTCAGCCACAGCCCTAGCCCAGCCAGGGACCCCGGAGGGGGCGGGTCCCCCAAGGCACACATGGGCTGGAAAGGGAGGGAGCCCAGCTCCCCCCTCCCCTCCATGCTCAAGCCTCTGACCTTCCCATCCCCCTCTCCACTCCTGCTCCAGGGGCATCGCCCCCCTTCTTTCCCTTCCTTCAATTGGATCCCCATCTTCTCCCTCTGCTTCCCCAAACGTCTCACGCCCAGTGTCCAGCCCTGAGCCATAGAACCCTCAGAAGCAGCAGACAGAGAAGACAAAGAGACAGAGACAGAGAAGGAGACTGCCAGGCCAAGTGGTCAGTGCGTGTCAAAGCAGAGAGGGAGGGACAGCAAGGTGCCAGGGAGGATGGTGCGTGGGGGGAGGGCTGGCGTGCGTGAGGGTGGGAGCAGCCACGCAGACCTCACTCTGCCCTGCCAGCCACCACCAAGCCCTCCGACCTCTGGCCAGGCTCCCGTCTCTCCTCCCCACCTCCCCCCTCCAAGGCCCAGCCACTGCCAGGGGACCAGGCCCTGGACAGCAGAGGCCTTCCTCCCCGCCAGGATGTGCAAGCACACAGATGGAAAATGTTAAAGGGACCTTGCTTCGCTCGCTGACAGCCAAAAAACCGCTCCAGCTCCAATCTCGCCTCCCCGCCCCCACTCAGCAGTGACACCTCAGAATTCCCACCTGGGTGGGGTTTGGCTGTTTTCTTTGGTTTTAGTGGATCCGGGGGTCGGTTTAACCCTCTGAGTTTGTTGCTTTGGTTTGGTTTTTAGAAAAGATATTTATTATGTTTAAGTTTAGATTTAACTTTGGTTTTGGTTGCTTATTTGGGGAGGAGGGGCACAGAGGAACCACTACATCGCCCCTGCTCCCCTGGACCTTCAGCTGCTGGCGCTGGGGGGTTTAAAACCTGGCTTAGCCCTTGTTAGCCTCTGGTTAGTGTCTCGTTAAAGATCTGGTTTAGAGTTAGGTGTCTGTAAGCCCTGCCCCCAAAACCTGGGCTGAGGATAATCCAACTTGTGAAACCCACTCCTTCTTTGGAAACACAGGTTCCCTGGGCCATCCAACCATCTGTGTGGCCTGTAGCCAATGACCACCCATGGCAGGGGGTTTGAGGCAGGGATCTGCTTGGCCCTCTGCTCAGCCTCTCCTCCTCCAGCACCCTCCCAGTGCCCAGCACCTTACTCCGTCCACAAAAGCTGAGCACTGGTTAGTAGCAGCTGGAATACTAGACCCAGAGAGTGCCTGAGGACCACCGTATCCAGAGATTATTCCCAGGCATAAAAGTTAGGAGAAAACGAAGAGGAGAAGGCTCACAGTGGTTGAACAAGTTTGGGAAGCAAACATTTCACAATTAAATGACAGGTTTCTTTCTCACAGGACTTCTCAGAGACTTTATTAAACCAACATCCACATGTATCTATCCCCAAGAGGAAGAAACAGGATTCAGCATTTCCCAAGCTCATTTTACCACAAATCTCTTTCTTGGGAAGCATCTCATGGGACTTGGGCTTCACCGGATATGTTTTGGAACTGGAAATTGATTCATTCAATAAATATTTATTGAGCACCTACCACATGCCAGATGCTGACTGTAAAATAATCCCTCCAAGAGTGCCCAGATCTTGTTTTTAAATACCTTCCTGCTCCTCACTTCCTCTCATTCTCCCGGCAGCCTCCAGGAGGGAGGCTGAGCCAGCCGGCTCACTTTCCCTGTCCTTCTCAGGAGGGAACAAGGCTTCTGGACGGGGAAGTGAGCTCTTCCTTCCACCTCTGGGAAACACCAGAGCGTTTTGCCCAATCTTTCACTTTCCAGAAGAGGAAATAGGGCTCTAGAGAGGTGTGACCCCATAGCTAGGAAAGGACAGCTGGGGTTCAACCTCTCCTGAGCCACTAGCCCCACCACCACCCACCCCGCCCTGGGCCTGTCCAGCTCTGCCTGCCTGGGGGTCACAAGTTGTCCCAGCCTCAGCCCAGGCTACTCCCTTGGCCTCTCTGATTCTAGGAGAGGGAGGTGGGTAATGGAGAGGAAGCTACACAGGTCAGCGAACTTGGCCCCTGTGGCCCCACCCACAATGAACTCCTCAAAGGGTTAAAGTTCACCCCGCTGGAATGAGCAACCCAGTGCGGCTGGGGGCTGTAGGTTTTAGCGATGTCTGTTACAGTCCCTTTAACTTTTTGTCTTGTTATGGATTTATCACATCTGGTTATCAGCATGTTTAGTCCCCGCTGGCTGTATGAGGGGCTGGAGGTGACATTTGGGGGTTTAAGCTGGGGCAGGCCCCAGTGGACATTTAAAAGCACAGTTATCAGCTGGTTAGATAGGGGTTTAACAGCTCTACTTCCCCCCTAGAGTTTAGCCTTAGAGGTACAGAGCTCGCCCCCTCTCCGAAGGGAATGGGATGGCTTTGCCCTTGACCCCAACTTCCCTTGGTGACAAGTGGCCTTCTCCCTCACACCCAGCAGTGCCTCACTACCCATAGCCACTCAGCTAGCCTGTTCTGTCGTGCTCACCAGCTCAGTAGGCACAGAAACCCCCATGGGATGGGCCACCCTTCCTAGCATCCTCCTACCCCTGCCTCTGTTACTTCTGAGAGGCCTTCCAGACCAACATGAGTCCATTCCAGAGACAGTGCCCCACCACCACTCCCCTGGGAAAGAGGGGTCTTTCCAGTAGGATGTAAGGCCCCCCACTCATCCCTTTCCTCCTCTAATGACCCCAGTGAAGCCTTCCCACCCTCCCTTTGGATCCTAGGATCAGCACTTCCTGCTTCCCAAAGGCTTTCTGCTTCTCAATGCACTGTAGCCCTCTGGCTGGCCCTTCATAAAACCCCGCTCCTGATCTGCCCTCCAGCCTGCTTTACCAGGGTGGTCAGGAGTCTCAACTGGACAATCTCAAGGATCACCCTCGCCCATTCAGGGTTTGGAAACCTCTTCTGAGCAAAACCCTGGCCCTGGCCCAAACCACCCCTCTACTTCTAAAGACGAAGACTCTTGACTCTAGAGAGGAAGGGGGCATCCTGGTGGGATGATCAGTCCCTTCCCTAAGGGGTGGGCGATGGGGAAGGCACGGTGGGGAAAGAGAGAGCTCTGCACCTTTAAGATCTTGTTTTTAAAGTTAATTAATTAATTAATTAATTCTGGTTAATTACCTTTGTCGAGCAGCCACTCATCTACTACTCGACCAAGCCGGTAGGGGATTCTTTGTCTAGCAATCGCCAGGCGCTCGTTATCAAAGTTTCCTTGGAAAAGTTTAGAAAGACAGTAGGTTTCTCAGGCGGCGAAGTCCAAAGGAGTTAGCAAAGTAATTACGCATTTCTCAGGAGACTCAAGGTAAGGCAGCAACATCCACCAGAAAGGGGGTAAGGTCCACCCAAGACGGGAGAAGCAGCGCTGGGTCCCTTATCCTCCCCATCCCCGCCCTAGGCTCCCATTCAGAGCCAGCCCCACCCTAGGGGCACGAGTGACCCAAAGAAAAAGACAGGGAGTAGCAGAAAAGGAAAAGGCAGCTGGAAGGTCAAAGGTCAGAGGTTAAACAGGTTTATCTTTGCTCAAGCTGTTGTGCCCACCTTCCTTCCCCATCCCAAAGTGGGGCAGTGGAGCAGGGAGGGGCATTTAGCGGGTTTAAGTTAAGGGGTAGGAGGGGTCAGTGGCCCGGCTGGTTACTGAGTTTAGAGGGTGGTTTAGAAGTGGGAGGGATGGGTTAAGTGGGGTTTATGCGGCATTTAGGGGGTGGCCCGGCACTCGCACTTAACGGTAACATTTAAACCACTTCTCCAGGCACTCAGCTCCCCTTCCCTTCTGCGCTTGGCTCCCCACTGTGCTCTTTGCCAGCTCACCCCACACCCCTACCCCACGAGCTTCCACCCTGATCCCTTCCTCCAAAGGGCCCATCACCACAGCCTTGTAACCCTTCCCACCATCCCCTCTGCCTGCCACTGCTACAGGTCACTCTGCCACCCACAGCCCCACCCACCCCTCTGCCCTTCTCTGCCTCTCCCACAGTCATCCCCCTGACCTCCAGCCCCATTCCAAGACCTTCAGATTCCACTCTGCTCAGGTCCCTTCATTTCTGCCCCATTCATTTCTGCCCCAGGGACCTAGTCCAGTTCCTGATGCCTTGTCACTCACTACCCTTTCTGCTTTAGGCTCCTCCCCACAGTTCCTAACCCCACCCTTTCTCATCCCTACCTGTCCCTCTCTCCACTCACCACTGTCCAGGCCTTGGAGATAGGAAGACTGTGTGTGTGTGTGTGTGTGTGTGTGTGTGTGTGTGTGTGTGTGCACCTAGGAGTTTGGTATGCTCCTATCTGTATCCACGGGCTGTGGATTATCCCAGTCTGTAGCAGTGGAAATGGAAATGATTTCCTTTGGGAATCTGGCCACTCCTCCCATTGAAACCATGTACAATATTCAATAACGTGTTGGTGGGGGGGCTTTCCTGCTCATCTCACACTGCACAGCTGCACTGGCCTCCAGTGAGGCCTGGGCCCCGGGCATGCCATGGACACCTCCCATGGACAAGCACACCACGTGTTTGTGTGTACACGGCTGCTGCCTTGACTAGGTGCTTCTGACGCAACGAGCCCTTGCCTTCCCTACAGATTTAAGTCACTAGTATCTGAGTAAAAAAATGGATTGTTTACTCTTTTAGTCACTCAACAAACATCTATTTTGAGTGCCTTCTCTGTTCTGGTGCCGGGTATTGAAGATGAAGGATGAAGCCCTGGCCCTTACCCACAGAGTGCCCCAGCCAAGCAGGGGAGACTGGCAAGTGACCAGCAGTGTTTTTTGTTCTGCTAGAGGTGGCTTAGGCCATCTCCCCACTGGGGATGGGAGAGAGAGGTACCAAAGAAGACACTGGAGGAGAGATGAAGGGACCAGAAGGGAGTCATACAGGGCAAGGTGGGGGAAGCACACACGCAGAGCACATTCAGGAGGGCAGGAGGCTTTTAGGGACCCCCTGTGTGTGTCTGTATCTGTCCTTGTATGTGTCCTGAGAGGAAGGGAAGAATGTACATCTGCCTCATTGGAGTACATAACAATTCTAACAGAAGTTCTGTTTGTTGAGCACCTCCTCTAAGCCATGTCATTCTAGTGCTTTCCTTGGGCCATCTTATGGAATTCTCGCAATATTACCATGAGGTGCATATTATCCCCATCTTTCAGAGGTGGAAACAGTCAGAGAGGCTGGATGACTCACCCAGGGCCAGACAACTTGTCAGTAGACAGTCCAGGATTAAAAGGCAGGTCCTGCTGACTCAGAATCCAAGAGCTGAGTCTCTGTGCTCCCTAAAAGTCTGGAGGCCCAGGCTCTGGGTCATGCCACCTGCCAACCCTGCCTGTCAGTGTTGCTCAGGATGACACTCGGCTTCCGTCGACCGTCTGCCCTCACATTGCACACAGGTGGGCACTGCTTTACAGGTGAGGGAACACCCAGCAGTCTTCCCCATCCCCAGCCAAGGGTCCCTGAGCAGAGGTGAGCAGGCATGGGCTCCATGGGAAGAAGCTCTGGACCCAAGTCATGGTTTGATGTGATGAAGCCTTCATGTCCTCCCAGTATAGTCCCATTCAGCCTCGGCTGAGGTCCTCACTGCTACAAAGGTTGCCCTCACATGAGTGTGGCTAAGAGAGAAGACTGGTGACAGTAGGGCAGTCACACCTACACAGCCTGGCCTGCACACACGCAAGACTTCACACAGGAGTGTTTGTGTGCCTGAGTGACCCCACACATGCCCAGAACCTTGGTGTAGGCAGGCCTCCCTCAGCAGGGCTTTCCTTTCTCCAATGTCAGTTTGACCTTATGAGTATTTGTAGTCATCTGTGTGTCTGTGTTTGTCCTTTATGTCCATCAGCCTCTGTAGTTTTTTTTGGGAGGGTGGGACCATGTGGTTCTCTTCATCACCAGAGACTGTGGGGTACAAACCTGCATCTTTACACCAGCGTAAGCAGGCCTGTGAGAGTTTGCACACCTGCACCTTTCCCTGTCCTTCTGCCCACACCCTTCTCAGCCAGCGTGGGGCAGCCACTCTGCCCCCGCCTCGGCTGTCACTTCTGCCTCAGAGAGGGAGTTAGGCTGCAGATGCTCTCCCTTCTCCTTGGTCGCCCCCGTGTGTGACTGTGGGGTCGCTCAGCCAGATTATACCTCCACAAGTCTGCATTTCTGCATTTCCCTCCTGCTCCTCCCTCTCAGTCTCCCGCACTGGGCTCTCTTCTTCTCCCTCCTGAAGCTCTGTCCACCTCTTCTCCCACTGGCTGGGTCTGTGCCACAACATCTCCATATATCTCTCTGCATCACTCCGGGACTGCCTCCGTCTCTGCTCCTGTCCCAGTGACTGTTCCCATATCTCTCTATCACTCCTCCCCTGGCTCCCCCGCACTCTGAGGCTCTTTCTCTGCCTCCTCATTTTTCCCATGTCCTCATCCTCTCCTTCCCCTTGCTCCTTAGAATCTTGGTCTATCCTGGGCCACCACAGCTGTCACACTGTGTGACACTGTGGAACCAGGTCTGTTTGCGTTCCCGTGCTTCCCACTCCTAGACTGTGAGCTCCTTGCAAGCAGAGGCTATGTCCTGCTTCCCTGTGTCCTCAGAGCCTGACACCTAGGAGACTCCCAGAGAAGGTCTGTGGAATGTGCTTGCACTCTCATCACTTGGCATTCTCTCCCTTTGACTGTGTCCCGTATTCTCTGAGACATTGGGGTTCATTTTCTCTAAGCTTCTATGGTCACTTTTCTTCCTTTATCTAGAACTCCTGATAATGGATCTTTGACTTGCTCTTTGTAAAGACCTTGGTTCATTCTTTGGTTCTGTCCTTGGGATCAGGCCTGCCTCCCTGCCAAGATAGATCTTGGGTTACTTATGGATCTTCTCTCTTTGGTTTCTGCATCTGCCTTCCCACTTTGCCTGTCCTTCAATTCTAAACCCATCCTTTCCTCAATAGTGTCAGACTCTCCCTACTTCTACCCTTCTTCCACTACTCTTCTCCCCCACCCCTACCTGGACCCTGGCCTTGAGGCCTTCCCAGCTCAGCTCTGCCCCCTCCCTCCTAGCCGACAGGCTCCCGACACCGAGGTCCAGTCCTCCTCACAAATCCCGAGGTTTCTCTTTAGCCATACCCCTGTCCTGGTCGCCACTAGCCTTGCCTCTCACGTGGCCTCTCCCGGAGGCTTAGCCCCGCCCCCGGCAAGCCAGTGATCCTATCAGAGGCTTCCCTGTTCGCCCCGCCCCCGGCAAGCCAGTGATCCTATCAGAGGCTTCCCTGTTCGCCCCGCCCACAGCGCCTCCTCTGCGCGCCGGCTCCGCCTACCTGCCGGGTACCGCTCATTGACGGGCCAGCTGTCCACCTGCAGGGTGGCGTTACCGCCACTTCGAGTGAAACGCACCACGTGGTATTTGCCGTCGCTCACGATGGCGTTGGGCTCATCGATGGTAATGTCGTCCGTGCCCACGTTAAAGATCACCCCCACGGTGCCCTGGTCCTGGGGACAAGGAGGTAGAGGTCAGCGACTAGGAGGGAATAACCATTCACTCTAGAACTCCACCTGTGACCACCACCGCCCCAGATCTGTGGCACTTCACAGCTTTACAACGCACATCTCCCAGTCCTGCATTTGCTGACCCTCTTACCCGCCCAGAGAGGTGGGCAAGCTTGCCTCCCCCCACATGCAGGCAAGAGAGTGACCTGAGACTCAGAGGTTGGGACCACGGTGGGGTGCAGAGCCTGGAGGGAGCATCTCCGCTAACCACACCTGCCTTTTGCCTTTTGGTTCGTTCAGAGTATTCACAAATGTTTACAGGGCACCCATTCTGTGCAAGGGCCACTGAGCCCAGGACCGGACAAGGAGGCCAGGACCAAACTGGGGGCCATTAGAGACCTCTCTAGGGCACAACCAACAGAGAAGCACATGGAAGCCAGCCTAGCACCTGAGGAAAGTCTGGCCTCACCATGCCCCACCACTCCCAGCCTCAAGCCTCCCCTTCCCTGCATGCTCAGCACTGAGCAGGTCCCCGGGGCTCTTGGACTAAGGCAGCAACATGCCTCTCCTGGCAGCTCATCAGGCCCCATGTTGGTCAGGCCTGAATGTGAAGTCATAGGAGTGAAGGCGGGAGTCTGGACTATATTTTGGGAGTGATGAGTATGGAAAGAGATCAGGGAGACAAATCACAGTAGACTTACTAAGGAAACGTGAGTGTGTGGGTGTAGGGGTAGAGGATGGGCTGGGAGCTGAGGAAGGACAGGAGAGGAAAGTCAGAGACCCAGGCCTGGAAGAGGGGAGCCAAGAGTCCGTCTCAGCAACCTCTGGGACCTGGGGTCACAGGCTCTGGACGGGCAGGGCCTGGGGAATTCTCCAGGGGCCACCGAGGATCCAGCCCCAGAAGAGTTCTGTTGACGGCAGCAGCATAAGAGGGAGTGCTTTACTGAACCCCTAAAATGTGCCAGGCCTCAGAGGGTACTATACACATATGTTCTCTTCATCCCCACAGCAACCCTCTCAGGAAACTTATGGAATCCCCAATTCACTAAGGAGAAAACTGAGGTTAAGGGAGGTTGAGTAACATCCCTAAATCCACATCACAGGAAAGGAACCCCTGATTTGAACCCCAGTTGGCCTGACTCCAAAGCCAGTGTTCTCTCTCCCTTGCCCACTAGTCTGGGGAGATGGCCAGGGGATAATCTGAGCAGCTACTGAGGCCAATCTACCTGAGGGGCCAAAGACATCAAAAGAAGCCAGGGGAAGGCCCAGGAGGCCCTAAACCTGGGCCCCTATTCCATTCCCCTGCACTTCTTGGCAGCACTCCTGGACTGAGCCCCCTAGCCCTCTATGCCTCTCCTCCACACAGGACAGACACCCACACAGGCTCCCTTAGGCCCCCTGAATCACACACAGTTATGGGACCCAGATCCCTAGAGCATACACACACACACTCCTGGGGTCTTCCTGAAAGACTACCCCAGTCCAGCCTGGGCATTAGGGCCCATTCCACTAACAACTCCTGCATCCAGCAGAGCCAAGAACCTGCCACTGAGGATGGGGATGGGGGGCTCACAGATGAGGTGGGGGTTAGGGTTTTGCAAAGAGCTAGGCACAAGGTGGGCAGCTGTGGCTCACTTGGAGATCCAGGCCCACTCCCTTCCTCACTTCTGGATCCAGTTCTCCCCTTCCTAGAACCTGGGAAGGCCACACACACACACACACACACACACACACACAGAGTCATATACACACAATGCAGCATCTCTCCTCAGGGAAACTGAGGCTGGGCTCGCCTAACAAAGAGTACTCGCAAGCCCCACACACCCACCACCCACAGACTGACAACATCCCAGGGAGACGGGATGATCACGTGCTCATGAGGAAAAGAGCTGAAGCTCCTCAGTACTATTATTAGCAATAACATCACCCCAGAATAGCATCAGTCCCTTAGACACCTCTGAGGGTTTCAACCGATGAGGCTCGGGCCAGGCAGTGATGGTGGTCAAGGAGTAGAGGCTGCCTGGGACCTGGGGTGCCAGAGGGCTGGCCAGGGTGACTGGAAGGCAGGACCCCTGGGTTTCCTAGGAGGCAGCTGAGCTCAGAGCCATACGCTCCGGGGGAGAGGCAGTTCCCAGAGCTGCTCCCAACGTGAAGTCAGTTGTCACTTCTGTTAAAGTCATTAATTCCTAATTCCCCAATTACCTCATTAGGCGGCGGTGGGGAGAACGCGGCCGCTCCTACAGCAAATAATTATGGGAGTCAAAATTAATTTGGCAAAGTGGAGCGACGCTTTATTAGAAACGTCAAATTGCTTTTCTCTTATTTTGCTGCCGCCTCCCCACTCTCTGAGAGCTGCTAATGACGCGGCGGTGGGAGCTAGTGTGTCACCAGGAGAGGAAGGGCTTGGGGGCTGCCCCCCAGGGGCTTCAACCTGGCTGGGCCCTACTCTTCCCTCACAGCTGGCCTCTCCTGTGGCTCCCACACTCTCCCCAGGGTCCCCACCCTCATCAGGCTCCCCATCAAGGTCAGGCACCCCACCCCAGCCCTCAGCAACACCAGGCACCAGGCCACATTCCTCCACAAGCCTGTGCCAGGTGAGGACTGTGGGTCCTTTCTCCCTGCACCCTGAGCCCCCATGCTGTCTCTTCAGTGCTCAGAAACCCTGTCCCCTAACCCTGCAGGCACAAAGACACACAGGACTGGTCAAAGAGGCAGTTCCAGAACATAGGCAGATGGACACGTCTGGCTCGAATCACAGATGATCAGGGTGTAGGCTGACACTGAGTGCTTCCTGTCGGCTGGGCCGTGTCCCGAGGCTTTACACACACAGTGTCCTTGAAACCTCACAGACTCCCTTTGTCCTCTTGCCATCCTATTATCGGGCCTCAAAAGGGGACACTGAGGCTCACAGCGTGACTGCACGAGGACAGAGCAAGGAAGTGGCAGAGCTGAGACTCAAACCCAGGCCAGCAGCTCCGAAGCCACACCTGGCTCCTCATGACTGTCTAGAGAGAGAACACAGCCTTAACTCGCAGAGAAGGCCATGGAGACACAGCCACACCTGCCACAGGGTCAGGAGACTGGAGTAACAGCAAGTACCATACTCCCCTGGGAAGGGCAAACATGGAGCAACACATGTGATCAGAGGCCGAGAGCCTGTCCCCCATGGTCCCCCAAGGTCCCCCGTCACTCCCAACACCGTCAGTATGCACCTGGCCCCACATGTCTCACACAGTCACGTGTGCTGTCCATGGCCATGGTCTCTCACATCCAGCCGGGGACACTATCCTGCTCACACTGGCACAAACCTTCCAGGCATTCTCCCCAGGCCCTACTCATCCCTCCTCACCCCTTCCCTACATGCTTCTCTGCCTGGCCTCCCCCATCCAGCACCCAGCGGCTGCTGCTCCCACTCCAGCTCCACTCAGCCCACAGGACATCTCACACCTCCTTCCTTTGCTCCCTGGTGTTGGGGGAGGGATGTGCAGGGTACCCCAGAAAGTTAATGTGCAAGGAGGGGCCAGTAGCCACAGTCCAATCAGATGAGGAGGGACCAGAACACAAACATACTTCCAAGGTCCCCTTAAAGCCCAGGACCCCCCACCCAGACCTTTCTAGCACATAGAGCCTGGTCGCCCTACTCGAACCCCCAGCTCAGGGGTCCTGGCCAGGGTCAGCATGCAGGATGCGGGCAGCGAGAGGAAAGGGTTGTAAGGGGACTTACAGGTGGATATGAGATTGAGGTCAGAGGCCCAGGGGTTAAGGCCATGGGGATGGGGCAGGGGAGAGGCTAAGTGCAGAAATGAAACAGACCAAGGCCAGAGGCTGTTGGGAAGGCTGTGGGGTAGGACTAGAAATGGGGAAGGGGTCAAGGAAGAAAAGGGGCTGCCTGAAGACAGAGTTAGGATGAAAACGGAGAGGAGCTGTGAGTATGGCAGGTGGGGGGTGTGGTTAGGGCATGGTATGATGGAAAGGGGGTATGGCCGGTATGAGAGATGTGAGGTGCTGATTCCATAGCAATGAGGGGACTGAGTAGAGGGGTGTGCCAAGAATGGTCAGTATGGCAGGTAGGGTGTGTAAGGTGTATGGTGGGTAAGGGGGTATAGCGGGCAGAGGGGTATGGTGTGTAGTGGTGGGGAGGGGGATATGGAGGGCAGAGGTGTATTGCAAAAATAGTGGGTATGGCAGGTAGGGTGGGTAGGGGGTATGGCGGCTAGGAGGGTATGAAATGTATGGCAAGAATGGTGGATATGGCAGGTAGAGCGGACAGGGGATATGGTGTGTAGGGCAGTAGGGTGGGTAGGGCAGATAGGGGCAGGTTTGGTAGGAGGCCCAGAGGGAGGCACTGGAAAGAAGCAGAGGTTGAGGAGGGGAGCTGGGCAAAAAAAGGCATGGCCAAGTGGGACAGGAGGCCAGGGTGGGGATGTACGACTGGGCCAAGAGGTCAGAGAGGAGTGAGCATGGCCAGGGAAGGTAGAGGGGAGGTAGGGTAAAGGGGCTGCTGGGAGGGCAAAGGTCATGGGAACAGAGGTTAAGGGCAGAGCACAGGCAGCAGCAGGATCTACAGGCAAGGTGCAGAAGCAAGCATGGATTGCTCTGGGGCAGGGGCATATGAAGAAGCAGGGCAAGAATCGGTGCAGGCCACAGCGGGCTGCCATAGGTCTAGCAGTGGGCAGGCAGCAGCCCAGGGCAGTTGCAATGTGGGGATGTTTCATGGGCTGCAGGAGAATGGCCTAGAAGTCTCAAGTAGCCCTCTGTTCAGGAAGGTCAGGAGATGACCTGGAGATGGAGTCAGGATGTGGGGAGCTTCACATCAGCTAGGGTGGCTCTGAGAATGGACAACAGGAAGGGAGAGGGTCTCAGAGGGCCCTCCAGGAATTGGGGGAAACATGAGAGAAGATGTGAGGTGCTGATTCCATGGCAATGAGGGGACTGAGTAGATCTAGGGTAGGAAGACTAGAGGGCGGGGAGGAGGGGCAGGGGCCAGGACCCTAGATCCTTACGATGTGCAGTTGCAAGTAGTCTCCGAGGCCGGAGGCACTGTCCACCCGTACCAGCACAGCACTCCGCTGGTGCGTGCTGAAGCCCACGGCCAGGCGGTCCATCCTCGTACTGGGCCGGTCATTGGGGGGCCACGTGTAGGTGATGAGTGCTCCCCCCTTCCCAAAGATGTATGTGGTCCCGGCTGCAAAGAGAAAAGAGAAAGGGAGATATGACTTCAGGTGAGTGAAGTTAGCAGGTCCTCAGGGCTGCACAGGGCCACCAGGCTTCAGCTGTGATACCTACAGCAGCCACCAGGCCCTGCAGTCCTCAGGAACAGTTGGCAGGCGGGTGCCCGGCTGAGAGCCCGTGCACGCGCACAGACAGATGTAGCTGCCTCATCAAGAATTCTAGCTTTAATTACAGCAAAACAGAGAGGCAATAGAGAGAGTGGCACAGAGAGAGAGCCCAGGGAGAGACTGCAAGGGGACCGGGAAGTGGACGGAGGGCAGGCAGGACCCAGGGGGCCCGGGCCCGCTCAGCTCAACTTCTCCCAGGGCTGGCAGAGGTGACAGATTTGAGGTGTGTGCTCCTATGAGCCCAAGCTGAACAGGCACCAAAGCCAAGGAGCCCCAGGCAATGGCGAGAGGCGCAGGGGCTGTGTTCAGCTCTGACTCATAGCCCACAGGCTGGCACCCTTCCACCACCTACCCCCACCCACTCCCAAGCCCCTGGAAATCCTGGTCCCAGTGTGGCCAGGACTCCTTGTTTCCACTCCCAATTAAGGGGCTGCCTAGGTCCCCAGAGAGGGGTTGCCTGGAGCCTTACCCAGCAAAGAAGAGAGAGATATTGGGGCTGGGGCAGGGGGCGGGGTGGGTACGGAACAGAGACTTGACAGCCAGAGGAGGAAGGAGGCACAGAGACAGATGGACAGAGGGGGGTGTAGGTGAGAGAAAGTGGGAGAACTCAGAGCCAGGGATGAAGGCTCCCTCTCCCTGCCCTCCCCCACTCCAGCCTCCCTCCCCCTCTCAGGCTCCTCCATCCGGCAGCCGGGGGCGGTGTGAGGTCCCTAACGATCTCAGCCCCAAAATAAACCCCATTAGTCGCCAGGTTCCCTCCTGCGGTGACTGGGCTGCAGGGGGGTGGGTAGGGGGAGACAATGGCAGGTGTGGGGGGTGAGGGGCCAGTCACCCAGTTTCCGGGAAGGAAACATTCATTGTCTGGGAGGCCTAGAGGACTAGTAATCTGGGGCCTTCAGAGAAGGAAGAGAACAATCTTCCATTCTTTAGAACATAAATGGAGGAGATGAGATTCATAAAATACTTAATTAAATAATTTGCCACTAACAACTCCTCTCAAAGCACTTCTTGGGGGAGAGGAGTTCAGGGGAGGATTTATCCAGAGAGAAAGGCAGGTGGGGGGCTGAGGGCAAAAGCCTGAGGTAGGCTGGGAAGGAGTAGGAGAACTCAGGGGTAGGATGGAAAGCCCTGGGTCAGGGAAGCCAGGCTCCAGGAGGGCCTGAGGCCCGAAGCATCTTGCTCCGTCAAGATGGCAGCCCAGCTGGTAACAATAGGGCTGGGCACCTCAAGCACCCTGGGGCCTCTCACCCCAGGGACTAGGAGCCCTGGTGCAGTTGGGACAATCAGCGGGCTCTACCCCAGGAAGCTCCTAGGCCCCTGAAGGAGAAAAGGGAAGACTGTTGCCCAGGTCCCAGAGAGGCCATGAGGCCAGCAGGGGTTCGGGGCTGGGGGGAACAAGAGCTGTTCTCCAAGGCACTTGTCATCAACACCCTCCATCTCCCCAGATCTAGCCAGAGAGAGGAGATGACCCCAGTGCCCAGGGCAGGGCAGAGCAGGCCGGAAAGAACCACCTTGATGTCTACTGACATCTCAATACTGCTGTCAATGGGAAGCACCCTCAGCAGACAGGAGGAGCTTGGCCCCGCCCCCTCAGACGAGGAATCCTTTATACTTTGGGGCCCTGGAGGCCCCTGGTGAGGCAGAACCCTCAGGATGGGGCCCCCAGATTAGGGTGGAGAGCTGGCTGGAGGCAGGGTACACAGTGAGCCACACCCCCACCCCAGGCAGGTCACTTGTCTGAAAGGGGCGGGCCTGCCGGCCAGGAGCAGAGTAGGCCTCAGCCCCTACAGCCTCTCCACTCCCAACACTGCAGCACTCTGGAAAACCGGCTGTTTCCATGGCAACCATAATACCCAGGGTCCTCCCTTCCCCCTCTACTCACAAGCTGCAAGTCCAAATTTGGGGGGTGGGGAGGGCCAGGGGAACTGAGACTGCTGACCTTCTACCACACAGCCCCCTTCCCTGCCTCTTCACCCCACATGCTCCAGCCCCCTCCCCCAGTCAGACGGAGGAGGGGGCTTACCGGGTTTCTTGGTCCCTCAGACCCATGGAACCCCATTTCTATGGGTCCTGCTCCCAAACCTCCCAGGTCAAAGGGAAAGGAGGCCATTTCTCCTCACTTCCCCACCCGAGAAACCCAGGCAGCACGTCACCTTGGAGAGAAGAGAACCCTGCCTGAGCCCAGAGCAGGCCTGAGCAGCAGGCCAGCCCCATACCCCACAGGGCAGTGAGGCCTCCAGGATCAGTGGTCCCACCGGCATCCGGGCCGCAGGCCCCACAGGAGACCCCACACCCACACACAGGTGACAACACACCCGGCCACACACAAAGACCCAGCGTGGAGAGGAACTCTCCGAGAGGAGACACGAGGCAGCCGGCAAACATGGCGGTGAGCGCACAAAGACAGGCCTTGGCCAGCAGCGAGGGCAGGGGCCACACGTCCCCGCCCCCGGTCCCTGCCCAGGCCCTGCTCCACCAGGCTTCCCCCGGGGTTTATTACCCTGCTGTTCTAACACTGCAGGCAGTTTATGACACGGGGTGGGCCTGTGAAAGCCTAAGGGCATTTATTACACTGTGGGGGAATCGGGTGGGGAGATGCGTCTTGGACCACAGGGGCTGAATGGCTTATTGGACTGGGGCAGCAGTAATTACCCTGGGGAGACATTTCTCCTGCCAGGGAGGCGCTGCCGCCTGGTGGGGGGAGGGGGGTGGGCAGGGGGATGGGGAGGGGGGTGGGGATCTGTCAGGTCCCTCCCGGTGGCTACCAGGCTGGACCCCCCACCGCCAGAGGTAACTCCCAACAACCACCACCCCACCCCCAGCAACCTGTCCTCTCCACCCCTGGCCACTAGACTCCCTGGGGCGCAGAGACAAGGAGCCACAATTTCCTTTCCAGGAAAGGGCTCTGGAGAAGGGACCTAAGCCAAGGCTCAGAATGTTACTCCAGGATGGCCCAGACCCACCGTCTTTGACCTCCCCATGTAGCTAGTGAACCACTTTGTGCACAATGGGGGAGGGGGGGCAGCACACAACCCTGAAGCCCAAGGCAAGAGAGCCTCTGGCTGCACACAAGATGCCACCTGCCCAGGTGCCGACCACCAACGGCCCAGGAATGGCACCTTCTGTCCACACCCAACATGGTCTGGGCCTTCTGGACCCAGAAATTCATTGATCCAATAAAACACTAAATGATCAAGAATCTTCCATACAGTTCCCACACACCTGCATTCTAGAAAAAAAAAAAACAACCAACCATTAATATGGTTGGCTAACCCAGACCCAAACAATAAACTCATTCTATGTAAAAAAAAAAAAAAAAAAAAAAAAAAAAACCACATGCAGTGATGCCCCTGTGGTTGAAACTACATGTGCAAACCCTCTGCCTGTCTCCCCGCAGCACCAGAAGCCATGACAAAACCCTTCTGGTAGGTCTAGAATCATAAGAGGATAAAATGTCCTGTACAATTCAGAAAAGCCATGGTCCTGGGTGCCCACAGCCCATACCGGCTCTTTGAATACAGACCTCCATAACCCAGGGGGATCTCCACAGGTCCATATCCCTGGGCTCAGCTCTCTTGATCTAGAATCCCAGAACAATATCCTCTTGATTCTTATGCCCATTCTTGGCCATAAATCATCCAGTCAGAAGGCCAAGTTAACACGCCCATTTTCAGAATCGGAATCAATGCTAGTCCCTTTCTAAGCAAGCTGGAGTGATAAATCCAGAACCCCTAGAAGCTACTGACTCAGAACTAAGGTTAGAGTTGATCCCACCACCCTGGCTTCAGGGAGTAGCACAAATGAAGGGCGGGAGCTGAGGCTCTAGAATGGGAATCGGGGCCAACGACCAAGAGAGTGGCACCCCCGTGGGGCATTTTTAGGACTCAGGTGTACTGGTCCCCCATGACCAGACTGACAACCGGTGCAAGGGTGTCAATGGGTGTCTGGCAGGTCTGTAGGGATATTATGTAACAGGAGGGGTTGGGGATGGAAGGCAAATGGAAGAAAGAAGAGAAGAGAAGAAGGGAAGGAAGGCAAAGAGAAATAGAGGGAGAAAGAAGCCAGGGGAAGGGAAGTGAAGAAGCGATTACAGGAGATGCTCCCTCTCAATGGGGGATGCTAGGGAGATGTTGGGGCAGGGAAGGATCTCCCCTGGCCTAGAAAGCTCTCCAAAGCTGGCCTCTTCCTCTAGCCAAGCATGGGGTCCCAAGAGAAGCCCATCCTTTCACCTCTGTCCTCATGATTAGGTAAGCAGAGGTGGGAGGGGGTCAGCCAGAACAGATGGCCTCCTCCCTCCTCTTCTACCTGTCCTTTGACCCTCTTCCATCCACTCATTTGCCTGACCCTCCCCAGCTCCTTTCTTCAGGCTCCCACTACCTTCCATCACTGTCCTACAGCGCCCTCCTGATCCCCCACTGCTGCCATGTGCCACTGGGCAGCCATGAGCCCTCTTGGGGCTGTTCTTCTCTGCTGCACAGCAAAGGGGTGGCCATCTCGGAGGCAACCCCAACATCAACATTCCATACACACATACTTCCCCCCATGCTCTCTCCTCCATTTTCTCTCCTGGTCTCCCAGCTCTTTAGCTCCTTCACTGAGCCTCCCTGTGCCACTCAGCTCTGAGGAAGGCCCCTCCTTCCAATCTGCTCACCAACCCTGGGCCAGCTCCTCTCTGGGTCCCTTCCTCTTTCACCTCTGGCCCTCTACCCCCCCGCCCCCGCACACTTTCCCCCAATATCCCCACCTCCCCTTCTTTATCTCACCTTTCTGTCCCTTGCCTCAGTGCCCAGAAGGCCTGTGTCCTATGTGGGCCCTTTTAAGAGCAACACTGGGACTCTAGGGAGCT